GGCAGAGCATCACCAGGGATGAAACCCAGCGTCTGGTGATGTCTATGCGTTCCAGACTTCAGACTGTAATTGACTGCAAAGGATTTGCAACCAAGTATTAAAAAAGTGAAAGTTTGATTTATGATTATTATTCTGTCCCATTACTTTTGGTCCCTTAACAAGTGGGAGGCACATATGCAAACTGTTGTAATTCCTACACTGTTCACCTGATTTGGATGTAAATACCCTCAAAGCTGACAGTCTGCAGTTAAAGCACATCTTGTTCGTTTCATTTGAAATCCATTGTGGTGGTGTATAGAGCCCAAAATGTTAGAATTGTGTCGATGTCCCAATATTTATGGACCTGACTGTATATGCTGACTCTGCTTATGCTCATGGTGTTTGTCGTTTATTTGGGGCTGTTTGGAAGCAGAGAGGATTTAAGAAAAGTGATGGGTCGCCAATCCAACATGTTGAACAGATAGTTCAACTGATTTCATCTATGATGCATCCAAGTCATTTAGCAATTATTAAATGCCAGGCACATAAGAAAAGAAATTATTTTGTCATAAAAGGCAACAATGCTGGTAGCAGTACTGGCCCCAATGGTACTCATTCAGCCTGAGCCCAATTTGAATGATATTGCTCGCATAAAAGGACAGCTAAACTTAATAAGATTTGTGTTGACACGAAATTGAGTTGGGTTGATGCTTTGCCCCTTGCACTGATGAGTTATCGCATGCAAACCAATAGAATTACAAACCTGAACCCGCTTGAAATGCTCACAGGTCGACCCATGCCTGTGCCATATTTGAGAGGTCCTTACGATGGACCGCCTCTGGAGCAGTTGCAAATGGATCTGAGAGCTTACTATTCACAGGAACAAAGCAGGGAGCCAAGAGAGGAAGTGCCGTGTCCAGTTGTTCCTGGAGATAAAGTATACCTAAGAGTCCTCAGATGAAAGTGGAATGAGCCAAGAAGAGAAGGACTATACACAGTGGTGAGAGCGACACCTACAGCGGTGCAAGTGGAAAGTAATACTACCTGGTATCATTTGAACCACTGTACTAGAGTACCTAGACTTAGACCTAGGAGACCAGAAGACGTTCAGGCTGCTGAAGAGGGAGATTTAGTGGCAGCCTCCCCAGAAAGCACTCAAGGGGAAGATGAAGGAGAGCGAGAACCAGAAGCAGGTCCTAGTTATGCAGGGAACAACAAACCAGGTCCAGTCCAGACAGAACGTCTCTAGGTTACGCATGTAACCATGGTTCCCCGAGGGAATGAGACGCTGCGTCGAAACGCTTTGGGAACGCCTTCAGCGTGACCACGCTCTGAATCATGTGTGTAATCAGTCCAATGGATGGGCGAGACGTCACAGGCGGGGTAGCGACCCGGAAGCTTAAAAGCACGAGTGGTGGATACAGCAGCAGCTTCTGAGGAATGAAGCAAGCGCTCACAGGGATGCCGGAAGTATGGCACTGAGACGCAGCGTCTCGTTCCCTCGGGGAACCATGGTTACATGCGTAACCTAGAGACGTTCCCCTTCAGGAACTTGAGCTGCGTCGAAACGCTATGTGAACAAGTATGCCCACGCCAGACTCGCATATCGAGGCCATAGAACCTGGCGAACGTCAGGGGTGTGGACCAACCCGCAGCATTGCAGATGTCCTGCATGGATACACCTGCCAAAAAGGCCTTGGAGGCCACCACGCTTCTGGTAGAGTGAGCCTTGACCCCCAAGGGCAGGGGGAGATCAGAGGACTCATAGGCTAGACAGATGGGTTCCTCCGACTGAGGGTCTGCTTAGTAGCAGGAAGACCCCTCTTAGGGGGACCAAAACACACAAACAATTGGTCCGCCCTTCTCCACAGGACAGCTCTGTGGATGTATGCGTCCAGTGCACGCACTGGACACATACAGTTAAGCCTCTGCTGGTCGGGCTCCCGAAAGGGAGGAGGACAGAAGGCCTGGAGTATGACCGGCCATGGTGTAGAGGAGGGAATTTTAGGTACATAACCCGCTCGAGGGTAAAGAAACGCTTTGGCCAGACTGGGCGCAAAGTCTAAGTAAGAGGGGGCCACAGAGAGGGCCTGTTGATCCCCAACTCTCTTAAGAGAGGAAATCACCAGAAGAATGGCAGTCTTCATAATGAGAAGACGATCAGAAATCCCCTCTATAGGCTCGAAAGGGGGTTTACAGAGAGCCACTAACACCACAGCCAGGTCCCAGGGAGGGACACGAGATCACACCGGAGGCCTGTGTAACCAGGGGGTGTCTGCCCAGAGACTGACCACCGAGAGGGGCGTGGTAGGCCACAATGGTCGCCACGTAGACCTTCAAGGTAGAGTGAGTCAACCCTGCGGAGAAACGGGCCTGCAGGAACTCCAGCACTGTACCAACTGGGCAGTTAACTGGGTCGAGCCGGTGGTCTCCGCACCAAGAAGTGCAAAGTTTCCACTTCAAGGTGTACAGTGGCCTCTGAGGACGTTGAGGGAGCTCTGGATTGGAGAATGGTCTCAACAACCTCGGCTGAGGGACCGGAAGCTACGAGTTGTGCCCCCTCAGAGGCCACACCCACAGCTTCCACAACTCGGGGCGGGGGTGGAAGATGGTGCCCCCCGCCTGTGAGAGGAGATCCCTCCTGACGGTTCTCCTGATGGAGAACCATACTCGGCCCGGCCAGAACGGGGCTACCAGCAAAAGATGGACCCCGTCCTGGTGCACCCTCTCCAGAACTCATGCCAGGAAAGGGAAAGGCGTACAGACGCAGCCTCGCCCATAGCATCCAGTCCGAGAGGAGCTGGATGAGTCAGAGAGAACCAGAGGGGACAGTGCGATGTCTCCTGAGTCACAAACAGATCCACCTGAGCCTGGCCAAACACTCTCCATATCTGCTTCACCACATCGGGACGGAGCCTCCATTCCCCGGGCTTCGGCCCCTGCCTCGACAGGGCGTCTGCTCCCATATTGAGATGTCCAGGGATGTAAACTGCTCTCAGCGAGAGGAGTTTCCCCTGGGACCACACAAGGATCTGGTGCACCAGCCTGTAAAGGGGGTTGAATAATTTTCCCTGTAAAGGGGGTTGAATAATTTTTGTCTTTGATTCTGTGAATTTTGATTGATTATGTGATAATCATTATTTGTACTCTACATAACTGTGATAACCACGGGCAAGTGCTGAACCTAATACATGCTCATGCTTAAAATACAATGTTGATTTGTTAAATGATGGTTAGGCTAGGGAGACAGGATCTTTTACTCCTTCCTAGTCAAGAGTGGTGGGAGGTGTTTGGTTCTGTTCTCCACAAGAGAGCGGTTTCGGGATTTGGTTATTGGTAAGAAGATGGAGTGATCAGTTATTGATCACTAGTTAATATATATGAAGGAACCGGATTGTGAGATTGCTCTCTTGAGGTAGGTTGGGCTTAATAAGCCCCAGAGGGGGGATGTGTAGACGTATTTCCATTGATCAGTTAAATTGTATTTAGTCAATCGATGCATTTCCATTGATCAGTTAACTTGTATTTAGTATTATGTCAATCAGCATTTATACAGCAGCATTGTACTGTGTTATTGTGTTGAATCATGACCTTAAATCACCTCAGTCTAACACTGACCTTGAAGTGTATTTCAATCATGAGAAGAGTGTGACTCCATGGTAAATCAGTATTTAACTCTGTCATTAATCAGTTTTTAATTACAATACTAATCAATTCATTAGAAATAATTACTTAAAATAATTTTATAAAGAATGGTTGTGTGTGTGTGAACCAAGAAAACTAGAACAAACTGATGTGACTCTACTTGTGGGAAATCACGTAGCACACAGCTTTCATTCATACATTGTATCTTTTCAGTTTAGGCCTGTTCTATCCCTCTTGTTTTCTCTACCAGAGTCCTTGAAGTTTGTATCTATCTTACCAGTTTGATGATAGTGATTTCTTATGGTGTATTGTTAAGGGTATGTGTTAATGTTAATATTTTTTCAAAAATAACCTGACTGACCTTCGCCATGGTTACGGCTAAGACAAAGAGACAGTGACATAATTGTGGCGAGAGGCAGGTGTGTAAGTGAAAGAAAAAAAAGATGATTGTTGTAGAACTGTATAAAAGCATGAGCCACAACTATGTACTTTAGATGTTCTGCAAACCATCTCGGCTTTGTTGTTTGATTCAATAAAGTCTATTGATTTTTGGCATCTAGAACCTCTTGTTTTTGTAATTAATTATCTTATTCAGAATTTGCCACGACAGTTCCTGCAACAAGCTGAGATTGCATAGCTTCTCCAGCAGATCATCATCCAGTTTGGTTGTTGCATAATTTCTTTGCTTTAGCAGCAAGGGCTCAGGGGCCCAGCAGTGGCAGCTTGGCAGTGCTGGGATTTGAACCCTCAACCTTCCAAGTCGGAGTCCAACATCTTAACCACTGAGCTACCACTTCCCAATTTAAAAAGTCAGAGCCTGCAATTTTCAAAATATCCACATTAAATCCAAAATGACCTACTTAATGTTGGGCGGAGCTAATGACTGTTAATTTGAAAGTTGTCCAGCTTGATGAGAACAATATATGTAGAGTTTGTAGGTAAAACTGACCCCACTTTAGTCAAAAGGGGGTGCTACGGAGCCCCCCCTCCACGACCATGTCTTAGCATTTGCCTATGCCTAACGGCCCACAACTCTGATGTGTTTGCCATCTTTCATGAAATTTTAAGCATGCTAAGAGCCTCAACACACCCAAATATACAAAGAAAAGAGTATTAAGTTTGATGCGTTACCACAACAACACTATTTAAGATATCAAGAATCCTTTCGCAATTTTACATCAGCGATGTCTGGACATTATTCTGACCAAGTTTGAAGCGATTAGGGTACTTTTTTTTAAAAGCCTGTTTTACGAGACACACTTCTTGCTGCCAGTTGGTGGCGCTATGACTGTGACTCACAAGAGTCAAATCCATGTGCTCAGCCCCGTGACCAAACATACAACTCAATGCACTCAGGAGCTATGAGACACTTCTTGTTTTCCTTTTTTCGCGATAAATTTATTGCCTCGCCATGGCAAAACCGTTCAAGATGTCAAAAGTCCATTCGCAATTTAGCATCTTCTGTGTCTTGGCATAATTTTGACCAAGTTTGGTGACAATATCCTAGGAGGAGTATTTAAAAATTCAGAGCCTGCAATCAGTGCTTGGGCCCTAAAGAGTGTTTCTTAAGTAAGGGAAAGAGCAAAAAATATACAAAAACAAACGAGGTGTGGGGTCTATGCAATGGCTGATGGGTTTTTAGACCATGCTTGATGCCTGTCAGAAGGCTGCCTGCCATGTGGCTGTGAAATGTTTTTAGCATATTTCATAAGCATACACAGGTTGCACACACACTGTTTGAAAACAAAAACAGGCCTTTCCATCTCAAAATTTTCTAGCGACCTTTTGCACCCAAAATTTTTAGTTGGCTCAATTTAAGTTATGTAAAATATATTTTTTTAGTTGTACTGATGAGCTCTTAATGTTGACTGAAATTGAAATAAAATACTGAGTCAATTTAAGGTTCTATTTTGACCAAATAGGGGTCCAATAGTTGGTCCAATATATTTTAATTTGGATAAGCTATTTTTGTTCAGTTTGCATAACTGCAGAGTCAAGCACTTAAATTCACCAGTGTACAAATTTTTCACCTTTATATATTTGACAAAATACATTTCATACAATGCAAAATGTATGGTTAATTATTAATGATTTTTAATAAGATCTGTAAGAACATACAGTGTAGAACTGCACAAAAGCAATGCATACAACAGAACTGTGCAAAATAGAATATAAGTGATACAATGCATTGTAAAAGCTCAAGTGCAATTAGAAAATTCTGTATGTATATTTTACATACATTTATTTTATAGCATCCTGAATTGAACTGGAAGTTCTGTGTACAAAAGAACAATTTAAAACAGAATATGTGCACACTGTGCATGTTAAAGTGCACTTTAGTGAAAATACATATGTAAATGAAATAGATCATTATTGCATTTTAGTACCAGACTATGCAATAATATCACCTAGTGCAAACTGGTTTGCAGTGCAAAAATAGTGCATGAGAACTCTGATTTTCAAAGCTTACTACTTTCACTTCACCATCTAAAGGTATTACAGGTTCACTTCAAAATCAAATGCCTTTGCTTTAGATCAAAAGAAGTTTGGTTCCTTACAGTACCATTTAAAAGACATTAAAATAAAGGATTAATTAACAGATTTCTGTTCATTTAAATTAACAGATTTCTGAAACATCTTGTGCAAAAGTTCAACCATGTAAAACCAAATTCAACTATTCTAAGAAAAATTCAAGTCTGTTAAACATCTGGTGTGAAACTTCAACCATGCTGTTCAGCAACTCTGCCGAAAAATGTAAATAATTGTCAGACATCTGTTTCCAACTGCAGTATTGCAAAAAAAATAATCACTGGCATGAAAATGTTTAAATTACAGCTGCAATAATTTGTTCTTTAGAGACTGCACTCTTGCAATGCACTCACTTCCAAGGTTCACAAAGATTTTCTGGATGGCTTCAAAGGTGTAACTTAAGTCCTTGGGATACATGTCCTTGGGATGAGCATAAAGCAGACCAAAGAGGAGAATGAAGGCTTTTGTGAAGTCTCCCAGATTGTCCATAACTACTTCCTCTTCCAATACTACTGCCACATTGACCACTCTGAGCTGTAAGCAGTGCAGTCATTTATCACTTCAAGGATTCCCATTTTCATGCCCTTTGTGCATGGCCCCAATGCATCAGTGTCCTATGAAACACATTAAATAATGGACAACAGTAAACTATAACAGTAGTGCTTGTAGTTTGGATGTCTTTCAAAGATGCCAAGTAAAACCTGCAAAACTTTTCTACATTAAAACTTTCCTGAAATCCTCCAAGCCCATGAGCTCCAAGATTGTCTGCAGACACAGTAAGCACTGTTCCCCTAATATTCTCACCAATCTGTTCAAGAAACACACCATCCTCCTCCAAGATCTTTAAGTCAGTCAAAATCATGAAAAGTAACATTTAGAAAGTCACTATTCATGAACTATGCACGAACTAACTTTTTTCTTAACTAACTTCTATGTTCTAAAACACATGTGCTTCAGGTGCTGAAAATGCTATTTAGACAGTTCCAAGGTGCTAGGAGCTTGGGAAAGTGTTTAAAAAAAAAAAGAAAAAAGAAAAAAAGAAAAAAAAGCATATATGGACATGCATGAAATACTTTTCAATTACATTTTTCAAATGTTTATGATGAAAAATGATACAAAATATGGTTGTTTACATTAAAATACATAATTTGATAATAAAGTGCTAAAAAGGAAAAGTCATGAGAAATAATGATTATAAAGTCATCATTCATCAAATATGCTCTAACACTGTTTTCTTAACAAAACTCTAAGTGCTAACAGAAGTGTGTTCTTTAGGCGCTTGAACCACTATTTACATTTATGGCATTTGGCAGATGCCCTTAGCCAGAGCAATTAATATAGTATCAAGGACTCAGACAATACAAATTTTGCTAATTTAAGTACTTTAGGAAGGGATAAGTCTTTAGACTGCCAGGTACTCAGCTTTAGGCATGTGCATGAAATACTTTTCAATGACATTTTTCACATGTTTATGAATATGATTGTGTACATTAAAACGTATAATTTGATAAAAAAGTGCTAAAAAGTGAAAATCATGAAAAAAGTGTTTAGAAAGTCATTATTCATCAAATATGCACTAACACTGTTTTCTTGACAAATCTCTATGTGCTAACGCAAATGTGCACTTGAGCTGAAAACGCTATTTAGACAGTTTCAGTTTCGGTGCTAGGAGCTTGGGGAAAGTGGTTGTGCTGACAGCTGGGAAAAGTAATTTTTCTAACGAATGCAGGTATGCACATGCATTTTTAACATGTTTATGACGAAAAATGATAGGAAAAATATGATAATTTACATTAAAATGCATAATCTGATAATAAATAGTTAGTGCATATTTAATGAATAATGAATTTCTAAACATTATTTTTCACTACAATAATAAGCTTTTGAAAAAGTCATTGAAAAGTTGCATGTGCATATAAGTTTGTTAGAAAAACCTCTTTGCCAAGGTCCTACCACCCTGAAACGGTCTGAATAGCATTTTCAGCACATGAAGCTTACGTATGTGTGCTAACATACGAAAACATAGAGTTTTGTAAAGAAAACAGTGTTAGTGCATATTTGATGACTAATGACTTTCTAAAGATTATATGTCCCAAGTTTGACTTTTTAACGCTTTAATATCAAATTATGCATTTTAATGTTAACAATCATATTTTTTTATCATTTTTCATCATAAACATTTGAAAAATGTCATTTAAAAGTACTTTATCCACGTGCATATAAATGCGTTTGTTAGAAAAACAACTTTTCCCAGATCACAGTGCCTTGAAACTGTCTAAAAGCGCACACTTGTTTTAGCACATAGAAGTTTGTTAAGATAAATGTATATTAGTGCTTGTTTGATGAATAATGACTTTCTAAACATTAATTTTCACGATTTTCACTTTTGTAGGATTTTCAGTGAACAGGCAGCAAGAAAACTATATTTTAAAAAAAGAGGAACGCTGTCAAACCTATTGATTTAGGCCATTGGCCAAGACCGGATGGTTGGTTCACAAGATAACACCCAAGGACTCTCAGCCATATATCTGATAACCTAAGACCAAAATGGGGGGTGACTCACCCAGGGAGGTCTCAAGAAAGAATCAATACAGGCTGGCCTTCTGGATTGAGACCCTTTGTTCTTTCCCCCAGGAACACAATTATCACCCTGTTCTCACCACCAGTTACACATTCCACAGAACAAAGCTTTAAGAGACTGCATCAGGCTACTTTACATCTCCTAAAAGGGCGATGACTCTTAAAATGATGCACCATGGTTTGAAAACATGTTGTCTTTTAATGTCATGCCTTATTTGTATCATGCTTATAGCCACAAGGTTGCCATTATTAATTTGATTACTTAGCATGCGTTACCATGGTTGAGTATGATTATTGTGGCTGATTATTAGCAGTCTATTAACAACAGTTAATAAATGTCTTGTGTGGTATGTGTATGTAATCATTATGTAATTTCCTAAGAGTTAGGATAAAGTAAATTTGAATACAATATATATCTGTGTTACAAAATTCATGACCAAAGTTCTAATTTTACCTTGTGGACAGTTAGAAAAAGCACATAATTCAGAGACCAGTATGCTAATTAGTGTCAGAGGAGGAGAATGCAGTTTACACCATGCCCCAAGATTCTGCTGATTGGAGCAAGCACTTTGGGCTCAGCCCAGCTAGAAAGGGTTAAAACCCCCTGACACAACAAAAACTCTGAGCTCTCTTCTACAAACATCTTCCAGGAGTTTTCCTCACCCAACATCTTGAGAGAGTCCTTGTCC